ATCCTCCAAAAAAAAAAGTTAACCTTAAGTTCTCTTAAGCGTTTCCATCTTACATAAATCCCAGTTCCTTGGCTTTGAGTGTTTCAAAAATGACTCATGAATCGATGATGATTACTGATTTTGACTAATTATATGACATTATTTTTTTGGGTCATCCGCTATTTGCTTCTTTGTCTGTATTTTCCCCTTTTTCTTTTCTTTCTTTCTCCATGTGTCTTTGTATCTGTCCTCTTGACAGGTTAATGCTCCATCTGGTAGCATCATCTCATTCAAGGTCAGGATACACACAGACACACACACACACAGGCCAAATAAATACTTGTTAAAGAATGTACAACATCCATACTCACAACGTACATGCACAAGTGTGTAAAAATTACATATAATGTACTACTACTCTTCACTAACCAGCTGCTGTGCTCTCTCATTTCTCATGTTTCCAAGCCCTAAAACTACAATTTAATAGAAAGAGGAAATGATCAGTATGCAAGAATGATATGTCGTGCTTTCACTGTAACACATATGTGTGCAATTGTGCATGACAATGCGATTATTAGATTTCTTAATGGTAAAGTAGATGACTGTCAGACTAAAACATTCCTAACTCCAGGAAGCAGCACTGTCAGCGCAGCGGACGATGACCTCATTGTGAAAAACTACTCCATGACAGCTGAGCCCTGGGACTTCAAACTATACAGTCGATATCAGATACAGTATAATGTATATATAGTTACAGGTTATAGCATTGTTTCATTACTGCAGTCATGGGTTACTCAATTGATTCGAATGAATAAAAGATCTTCTGACATTATGTTTGTCTTTTTGACTTATGATGAACTACTTAGGGTGTTTGAAAGCTAACTGTGGTATTTTTAGACATTTTTGGACATTTCCAAGTCCAAAAAGTTCCCGCAAATTACAAATATTCAGTGAATATCCAGAATATATCCTTTGTCAAAGTCAGAAAAACATCTAATATATATAGTTATCTCTTATCCACCGAATTATGTTACTAAATTACATTTTTGGAAACCAATGAGGGTGTTTGAGTCACATCAAAACAGACCTGAATGACAATTTTAAACATTGCTTTGTGACATCTCTGTAACATTACATAGCGAGAATGATGACACATCGTTAGGAGTCACGCTGGGCTAAGTGACTTGAACTTTTAAAAAAATAAATAAATAAATAAATAACTCCACACTTTCCACTGAAAATATGGCACCGTCATGTGTCAGTGTCATATAAACTGTCTAAACACGGTGTCTTGTTTCCCTCACAGCAGCAGTAAATGCACGGCTTGTAATTAGGGTTTGTTTGGCTGATTGTGCCGTGTCATGTTAGAGGTGGAGCAGAGAACCAAACATTTCTACAGGCTCTGTAATAACAAGCTAGATCTGCCCTGAAATGACATCTGGCAAACACACACATACATACACACATACACAGACACACACACACACACTCACACACAGACACACACATCTATGCGTATATGTGTATCTGTGCATGCATATGCGTTTGCCACCTAAGTTTGTGTCTCTCTCACAGCTACATATTCAATGGTGACTTTGTGGTTTTCAAAGTCTATACTGAAACAGTTGGGGTGTGCGTGTCTGACTGTGTCTACATGTTTAATTGCTACATAAACTAGTCTGACACCCACAAACAGAATGGAGTGCCTGTAAGTGGCTGGTGTATGTGTGAAATCTTCTGTTTGAAAAATTGCACTAATGAGCAATGACAAACTTCTTACTCATACTTATAAGTAAAGAAGAAGAGATGATGATAATCATTTTTGTTTAGTGCAAAAAATACAAATGTCACCAAAATCAAATAAAGCAGGATTGTTGCAGATTGCCAGTTCAGATGTGACAAGGCTTTTCCACTCAAGCAAAAGTAACACAGTTAATATTCACCTCTGATGTTGGCTCACAAAAGATACACAAAAGATTTTTTATCTATGCAAAGTAAAAGTTGTATCTGTATCTTTATTTATTTATAGGATTTCATTCATGATAAATCATTCTTTTTGTAAAAAATTACTGTTAGACTCGCATTAGTGTCATCTAATTACTATATATGGCAGTGCAATTCACTACATGTTACTCCATGTTGTCTGCTGCAGCAATTATTTATAGGAACCAACATCAGCAACAATGGTGCTGGCTTCACACTGCAGGAGTGAATCCAAGAGAAATATACAGTACAGTCTAGGGGTTGTCAATATGGGTAACTGCATATTAATATATGATATGATAGTATAAATCAGTGGATCTTAAACTTTTTCACATCAAAGATTCCTAAACTGACACATATTACACCATGGACCCGAATTAGATAAGATTTTGTCCCAGGATCCTCTAACTGATAGAGCGTTTTGATTTTAAATGTTTTATTACAGAAAGTGTTTGAAACCCATGACCAAAATAGTCGTACATTCTGTCATTGTGTTACTTAAGGATGGAATTATAGTGCAAATAAAGTATTCTCCTTTTTGCTGGGAACCACCAGGAAACCCCTCAAGGGCCCCTGGGGAACCCCGGACCACCAGAGGAACCTGGAGTTATAAGTTAAATACCTGACAAATCCACATACTTTATCGCACTGATGTAAATATACTGTAAATCCCGGATTGACATAGAGCAGTTCTGCTTATTGATTTGCAACATTGCGATGGCCTATTACAACCAGAGACATTAAAAGGCACAGATGCCCGGTATAGGGTAAAACAAAAATCTCTGGCAACAGCTATATTTATAGTGTCTCAGCAGTCTATATCATCAGCGAACCGTAAGATCGTCTTTGAACCGTACTTAAAATCCAGAGAAGACAGAGATATGTAAGGCTTTAGTAAGTCCACAATAGCAGTGTAAGTTTTGAGTAGCATGGCACACGGTGTATGTAAATTTTCCACTTTCTCCTTCTGTGGTGCCATGCATGTAGTCATTACAACAAACACACATGTGAAAGCTGTCAGGAGACTTTGGGGAACCTCATCCAGCAGCAATTAGCAGCTTACAGAGCTACAGAGGTTTCCCAGGACAGTCTCACATCCTTTCAAAACCTGTTGCAACTGATTCACCGCGTGTGCCAGCAAAAGCCAACGACACAGTGTAGTACAGGCATAAAAAGATTAACCGGGAAAATTTGCTGATTTGCTCTTTGTTAGGCCGCGCCCTGCTACAATGGCACAAAACAAGCAAATGACTCTCTCTCTCTCTCTCTCTCTGTCTCTCTGTCCTACCGACCTCGCTGAAATGCTCATGCCGTTTGATTTCTAGATCTCACCAACAGACAAAAGCAGACTTGTCTTTATAGCTAGACATCAGCTGACAGAGCTTTGTGGTGACAGAGGACTGAGCTCGTTTGTTTTTAAAAGGTACAGACGATAACGCAAGGGAGGTTAGAAAGTTCAGGTTAACTGGCAGGCTGGTCTGCCGTGGACTTCGCAGGATTTGTCCTATATTCATGTAATACACTAGCTTCCAAAACACAATACTATCTACAGTATCAGGGTGGTGTATATACAGCGTTGCACCACGCAAAGTACACACACATTTAACACAGCTGCCAGTTTTGTTTCCACAAAAGTGAAAAGATTTAGTGTATTTCAATGCTATTATCACAAATTCAATATCTGTCAAGACAAATTCCATAAAGAGATTTTACACTTAACACGATAAAATTATTAGAACTAGCATTTAGACCATATCAGCATAAAATGCACTACTGATAATTCCTAACCTGGTACTGATAATAACAAAAACATATCCACATTCAGCTGATATCAAATATCGAGCTGATGATAATATTTAATATTAGGTCATTTCTTCTGACAAACAATCTCACCACAAGGTCGACTCAGTAGCTGTTTTTAATCTTATCATATAATATAACCGTCCTCAGCAGATGGAGGTCCAAATCCCATCTTCTTCTGAGCATATCTCATAGAAATGACAACTTCTAAGAGATATTTGCTGACAAAAAAAAAAAGTATTAATAAATCTAAATCTTTTTTTTTGCTGGGAAAGATTGCGTGATACAATCTCCAAGAACCGCACAGCTATTAAATGGACCTTGTGGTGAAACCATTTTGTAAACTGCTGTTTCCGAGATCAGGAATGAACATTTAAATCGCAATATAGTTCCTGATACCGGGAGCCCTGCACACTGGAGGAAGTGTCATCGTATTCTCTAGAGCTTCGTAGGATATCAGTTGACAAGATCACCATTTTAATACTGGCCTTTTGTTTTCGCAAAATTTCCATGAGCATAGTCTGTAAATGATGAGCCTAAAGAGAGCAAGCTGCAAACCCTGGTGTGGAATGTATATTTCACTTATGTTTGGTTGTGCACAAGTTATAGGCTTGTTTTCTTCTCTCTGAATGTTATTCTTGGAACTGTGTGGAGGTAAGTTAAGAGCTACTAGAAAACAATCAAGTAAAATACATACAGCCAATAAAGTTTATTCTGATTCTGAGATTCAAGTGAAAAGTTTCACACATTCAAGTCACCTCCTGAAGTCATTTACAACAGTTATTTTTCAGCATAGACCTTCTGGTAGTCAGACGCTTTATCAGCATTAAACAACTTGAGCTCATCAAAAGTCAGCAAACCACACACACACACACACACACACACACACACTGTAAGCTGATGGGAACAAATGTGCTGACAGCTTCAGGCAACACTATACACTGCTCACTCTAATCACCCGCCTTTGGCCTTATCAGAAATTAACACAACACACACACACACACACACACACACACACACACACACACACACACACACACACACACAACCTGCATCTCAGCATGGTCAGAGACTCCTGTGACTCCTTCTGTCAAAAGCACATGCCCCAAAACAGGTTTTGTGTGTCAGTATGGACAGTATAGATGAATGTCAATGAGGTAAGTGCACCTAGAGACCTTACTCCTTCTCTTTCGTTCTCTCTCTCACATACACGCGCGCACACGCACACTTCCACTTACATTTCAAAGCCTGGATGAGAGCTTTGCCGTCTTTAATCAGCTCTTTGATGAACTTGTTGGTCTTGTCCAGCTCCAGCTCGTGAGACTTGAGTCTCTCCCTGAACTGCGGGCTGTCCAGGTAGCAGTCACTGAACTCCAGGGCAGGTAGTCCCATCTTCTTCTCCACCACCGCCGGCTTCGACACAACCTGCACGACCCGGCAAAAAGCTCCGAACAGGAGGAGGAGGAGGAGGAAAAAGAGGAGGAGGAGGAGGAGGAGGGAGAAAACCTGAGCTACTACTACTGCTGCTGCTGCTGCTGGAAATGATGGAAAATCCAATTACAACATGTAAACAACAGAGCGGAGATGTATGCAAGAGAAATGCCGATCTACATAACCTTGCTCTTCAATATTTTTTAAAGGTAAACACTCAAGTTGCCACAAGCAAGAGTCCTCCTGTTTCTTCCAGAAAGGCAGCAGCAGTAGCAGTCCGACACGGCATCCAATTAAATAAAAATTTTAAAAAAAACTCAGAGCATGTTTGGTGGGGTTAAGAGAAAAAGTGTCCACTTGCTCAGGTAAACCGGTGCTGCATTCCTCTCGACCAAGTCATTCTGGACCGGACAGAGTCAACCAGGGGCGAGGAGGGAGGGAGGGAGTCCGCAAAAAAAAACAAAACTATAGGCTCGTAAATGCGGTGTCTTCCCTGGGCGGTTTTAAATGCACTGCTTTCTCCACGGCCCCGCTCATCCCAGCGCTGCAGACCGTAATCAACCTACCCCGACACGGATAATCCCTGATGGACGTCTCTCTCGACCAATGAAGTGAGCGGACTGGAGAGCTGACCGTCCGGGGGCGGGTGTGCGGTGAGCTACTCTAGAGCAAAGATAAGAAAAAAAAGCGAAGAGGGTTCACTCTGTTGCAGCAAAGAGTTTGGGCTTGATTCCTGCATCCTTTAAGGTTTGCATTTCAGGACCGAAGAGGCCCAACAAGGCCTGTCTCATCATTTGCCCCATTTTTTGATAATTGTTTTTGAGAATTTTCTAGATAGAAATGATGACGGCACTCAACAAAAAGACGAGGAATCAACAAAGTCATTAGGGTCCTTGAGTGTCTGTTGCAGATTGACAACAAGTCTTCCAATAGATGTCAAGATATCTCACTCAAAACCAAAAATGCCAGTCTCACAGTGGCACTGCAGGGAAAGACAGGGGATCACCAAAGACAGTAGGATTCATCCTGCCGGGAGCATTAAATGTCTGCGCAACATTTGTTACCAATCAATCTCATATTTGATATCATTTTTTCTTTTTGGACCAAAATCGTGGATAAACTGACCAACGGAATGACATTGGCATCCCTATAGCCACATCGCAAGTGTGGCAAGGAAAAAAAAACCGGGTAGGACATGTAACAATGGAGGCCTTTATATGGTACGCTGCCATTGGATATATAGGACAATCCGTCCTTTGCAGCTCACAGTATCTCCAAGATTCTATTGTGAACACGCCTGGGGCCTTCAGGCAACCCTAATCAATGCATAAATTCATGAGATATCACCAACAATATGGCCGAGTGTTTGCATTCAGACGATCGCCTGCCACTGCTATATGCACGTGACCTTGACCAATAAAGAGCCACTACACCGTGTTAATAAGTTAGCCAGATCTGAACTGTCTGCATATGTTGTCAGTCACAGATGCTTCATTTGCTTGTCACTATGTAGGATAATCGAGAGCAACATACTGTGGATAATCCTGGACATTTGACCTTATAGTTTGCTTTGGATTTCTGGGTTACCTAAAGGCTGGACTATTTTCATTTAAGTCTACATTCAGCCTGACATTTAAGTCCACTAAGTCATTTTATGGGCTGAGGATGTAGCCCCCTCAAAAAGGAAACAGCAAATTAATGTAACAACGTAGTGGAAATTGGGCTAGAACCAGCTATGTTACCAGCGAGTGCTTAAACAGTAATATACTAATTATATATAATATATATATATATATATATATATATGCATATGTGTGTATTTAGGTCACAAATTTGTATGCAGCTGTTTGTGTGAATGAAAGAGAATGAAAGAGGTGTAAGTAACTATAGGGCCCACAGCTGTAATATATATGGGTATAACACTACAAGCGTGTGCAGAGTGTTGCATCTTCCCTAGCATTGACAATCTTCTTATGCAGCGCGCCTGCAGCCTGGTTGGTGGGAGGAGACGCTGATGTCATTTCAGCCAAAGCGGGGAATTTCTGCAGAGCTTTATCTGCCGTGGATTAAAGGCTCCTCCACTCTCTGGCGCCCTCTGTTGGCAAGATACTGCACAGATTTTTATTTGATCAGATAGGAGAGACTCATCTTATTTTCCATCAAATGTGAAATTATCCAAAATGACAAGAGAGTCATTAACCACAAAAGGAACAGATTCAGTAGGCCTAAGTAGTACTGACTGTATATTCTATTGGTTTTTAGTGATTCCGGGGTCAATGCTGTTAAGATGGTGACACTTCCGTTTTCTCTTAACACTGCACAAATATCACCGACTCATGCACAGTTTGTGTTTGTGGTTATTGTGTGAAAACAGCTCGGATATAGACATGCTACTTCCTCTGCCAAAGCGGAGCACAGCGTCTGGCCACTCACTCGTTTCTCCATCTGCCACAGCGTGGTGTACAAAGATGTACAGGAAGTCATAGCATGTTGTTGGTGTGTGAAGTCAAAGATTGTGGGAGGCTAGTTGAGCAACCAGAGTAAATTAATTTATATGGGGCGACACAGTCTGCTGCATGATTAGGCGCAGTGAGTTTTAACATGGGCTTCCATTTTAAATGACAAAATCCAGTGTTGAAATGTGATTGTTAGTCTTACAAAGTCATTGATAACACTAAAATATTACAACATATCAATATATCGAAGACTAGCAGCCTAAATTAAATGGTTAAGCCCAAAGTTTCATCGAGTAACCATCTACCTGAAACAGAACAACATGTTGTGAGTGCAGGGAAAATCTGTTTTACTTCAAAATACATGTCAAACTCATGTTTAGCCATCACACACAACCACTCCCTGTATGAGCTCATGTCCTGTAGCTGATTTACAGTATGCTGAAAAGACTGCCTCCTCCAAGTCCATAGTGAAGCTAGTATTTCGGCGCAGTGAGCCGACTGATCAGCAGATAATTTCAAAAATAAAATTGCTTTTCTAGAATGACCTCAAAGGGGTTAAAGAAAAATAAAATTCCATTCACATTAGTCAAGTCAAGTCAGTTTTATTTATATAGCACATTTCATACGGCAGGCGTAAACTCAATGTACTTTCATACAGTATCACTGTATGTATTTAAAGATGGCGTTTTTAATCAGTACCGGCACTAGGATGCTTTATGTGCCATCAAGACGTTGTTAATTACATTTTCTTGCTGCTCTCTAATTTCATCCATTGCATTAACCTCTCCCAGAGAAAACAGTAATGTAATTATCTACTGGACAGCTAAAAATATGTGCATGCATACTTCCATCTCCTGTTTACATGAAACAGATTACTGCTTGACTAAGAGCTCTTCATTTCTTCACAACTCCAATATCCCCTTCAAGTTTCACTTTAAGTCATCCTATAGTTAGACAAACAAGCTTACATTTACCGGAGCAAGCTTTCTTCTATGCCTGTTTCAGTCCACCATCAAAGCTACAGTATTTGTGTATCCATCATTACATCAAAACGAAAAACATATGCCCGCATGTTCCTGTGTTTTATGCACATTTACTTGGAATTCAGAGTGGTGTTTAGAAAAGCTTGGTAACTTGACAAGAATCTAAAATATAAATCAGTAGCTTTAAAGCGACTGCTGGTGGTCTGATCGAGAGATTTTACTGCTACAACAAACCAGTCACACCAATCTCCCTTCCACTTGTCGTCTCATCTTGTCGTGCCTTGTTGTTTCTCAAGTGCTCTGTCACATCCATCCAACATTTCATTACTTTCTCTATCCTTCTCTTCCCACAGAAGGACAGTGAAGACATAGGCCTACTTTCTTTTTTTTCCACCATGGGGAGTCAGAGGCTGTCTTTCTGCCCAAAGCATCTAAGCAGAGTCGGCTGACGCATCAGCATCAGTGATATAAACAGGACACTGATACTGTGTGGCTGACGCAAACTTCTGAGCACAATATACAGTCATTGTATGTTGGCAATCACCAAAATACTTACAAAGCAGGAAGCAGCAAAGTTGGTGGAAAATATGTACACCTACCGTCCACCCATCGCATTTACCGCAGAGGTGGTGCACATGCATAGTCCACAGAGTATTTACAACTCTACAATATTTGAATATACAGTGTAGTTAACTATCATTGATATACAACAAACCTCAAAGACAAAACAACTTAAAATACCAGAAAACAATCAAATAAATTAACTACAACACACTAAGCCACCCCTCTCCTCAGTTTGACTTGGTTCAGCCCAATTAAGATGACTGAATGCGCTGGGAAAGCATTATATGTGGGGCTTCAATGATAACACAAACACTCCCCAAACAGAAATGATTATTAGTTGCCAGACTGTATTTTTTTTTAATAGGCCACAATCATTAAAGCTGCTACAGTCAAAAATTCAATAATAACAATGGACCAAAGGACTATGTGTATGTGAAAGGGGTCACATTCATAGTGATGAACCCAGAGAGAGTCTTATCACCAGACTCTGCAGTTAGCCTCAGATCAGTGGAGCATTTAGAGGTTGAAGAGACGGATATTTCCCCTAAAGGTGAGTGAAATTAATTCATCAGGTGGACTCTAACACTATCCCAAAATGAATCCTAATGTTACTCCACACACACTGGATGTAAATACAATAGGCAACTGTTTGCTAACACTTTCAATTTATGATTTTTTTTTTTTTAAAGGTAATACTATGTCACTATTGTTAAAAAAGATCTATTAATCTTGGTAAGAAGTGAAAGACAAATTATTGTGTGTGTGTGTGTATGTGTGTGTGTGTGTGTGTGTGTGTGTGTGTGTGTGTGTGTGTGTGTGTGTGTTACATTCTAACTCAGTTTGATAAGTGAGTGGGTGTCTCACAGCTCCTTAACAAAAGAACAACAGATCTTTTTTTCACATATTGTGCAATGGGAACTTTATCCAACTTACAGTGTCACATGTATTTTACACCTTTTTTGTGTGGGTTTGTGGTGAGATTTGATACAGCGTAATATCACAAAGGCAGTCACGACAGTTTTTATTCAGATAGTTGATCTATTCTACCATCTCCTGGTATATTGAGGTAAAACAGCTATTTCCAAACAACCCAAGTAGCCCAGTGCTGACCAGGTGAGAGAAAAGTAGGTCAGACCGCTTTTTGGAGGCCTTGTCACCGCTGCACATTCTCTACATTAAAAGTCTTATGTCTCACGAATATTAAAACCTACAAAGGCAGTGTGATTTTAAAATACAGATATCCTGCAAGAGGATAAATTATACAGAAAAAGAGCTTGAAGGATCCATTAGAACAAGGCAGAGACGAGCCGACCACTGTGAATAATTCACCCGGCCTGCGCACTACTGCTGTGTATTGTCATGCAAGTGTGAGACAGAAAGTGAAAGTGTGTGAAAATAGATGCCGAGATTGCTGTGTTCTTAGAAGCCATTCTGAGAAAGAAGTCAACAGTACTTATCTAAATATCTAAATATATATATTTCGACTCAGTGCCTTCACTTATTTGGTGTGTCCTGCAAATTCATAAACCACCATCGCACCCTTCAGATTCCGACACGTTCCTAAAGTCTGAAGCCTGTCTGGTAACTATGTTTACAGACGGCAACCATCCAGAGAGAGTGCCACCACTGCTGTTTGCTCACTCCTGTCGGTGTTCTGGTTACAAAGCAGGAATCTGAGAGGCAGAGAGACACTTTACTGGCAATCCAGTTCCTATTTTAAAACGAGAAAACTGACGCGGCCTTTTGGTTATAAAGAATTTCAACTGAAATCAAACACCATCTTCCCCCTGACCTCATGTTCCTTATGACTGTACCTGGATTTCTGCACTCAAATGCGTATTTATTTTTGATGAGTAAACATTTCAAGTTTGCAGGAATGTGAAGAATAGCAACACCTGCAATCTTGCAATGTGACCCACTGTACCTCTCAGCTACGCAGAGACCTGGCTTGGATTGCAGCAGCACTGGCTTTATGTAAGATTCATTCTGGGAGCTGAAGTCATTCTCTTTGTGTCTGTTTTAAATGTTTATATCGTGTTGCTCACCAGTGTCTCCAGGAGGACACCAGCATAAGAATGTATCAGTGCTCAGCCAGACAGGCAGCCCTGCTCATTTCCAGGTTCTGGCCGGGTCCCATTGCGCGGACACTTGCGTCACCCTGTCTCGGTCCCTGTCTCGGTCCCTCTCTCTCTCTCTCTCTCTCTCTCTCTCTCTATTTCAGTGTGGTAATTTTAGTCCTGACGTTGGCCTGTTAAAATGAGTCCTCTGACGTTGTTAGAGGGGTGGTGAGGTGAGGAGAGAGGTAGATGGAGTACAAATAAAGACACACATACTTAAGTCCCTAAGGTCCTACCACCTCTCTGGCGGAGAAAAGAGGAAGAACGTGCGGCGCAGAAGGCACCATAAGCTGGTTTCACCCAAACCTCAGTTAAAAAAAGTGGAAAAGAGGAGGACATGCTGGCTCAACAGGGGCACTGTCCAAGGACTTTCTCACAGGTAGGTGACTGACCGACTAGATTAGAGGAGCCTTGCTGTTTGTGCGGGAATCCAGTTGGCCAGTAATCAGGAATGCACATTGATACTGATCTTACTTTTTTTCTTCTTTTTTTTTTAATGAGGAATTAATTTAAGAAATTTGGCTTTTGCATGTGTGTGTGTTTATGAATCTTAGGGTCAAAGACAGTCAAGTGTCTGTTTAGTGTCCATTAACTCTAATGACGCATCCCATTAATCAACAATGTCCAAACACACACATAGGTTCATCTCTCTTCCCACACATCCGCACTCTGACTCAGTCATCGGACTTTTGACGTCATTCCCACCGGCACCTCTGTCCAAAGGTCCCCGTGGACCACTCTGGCTTTAACTAACCGCTCATATCCCGTAATACAACATTCTTCTCCAGGTCCTGCTCTTGGGAAAACAAGCTGTGAGTGGGTAGGCCTAACATTCCTCTTGTGGCTTTGCACTGCTCTGTCTTTCACTTTCCTTCTCCCTCTCGCTTTCCCCTCTTCCTCCCTCTGTTTCTAATGCCTCTCCAAGACATTCCAGATGTGGGCCAGCTTGGCTATACAGCAGCTATTCTCTACCTCTGGCTAAATATGATGAAAAGAGAAAAAAAAAAGAAAAAACAAAGAGCAGAGTTGTAAGAGTACCACCTCTGGCGGGGTCCTTCACCGCTTCCCTGCTCCTTTTCAATTTCATGACAGCTACTGCTGCTGCTCTGGGATCTCTACCCTCCAGGATACAGACATTACATTGACATTGTGGCTTTAGCGTTGGGTTTGTTTGTTTTTTGGAAGAGCTTTTGAGGAAGCACAAAGTCCACGGGTAAGAAAGCCAGGGCCGCCTGCCGAAGATTTGTTTGACTGTCAGCAAAATATAGTCGGGTTAAAGCCAACAGAATGAAGGGTGTTAATACAAAACAGCTTCACCTCAAACAATATGAGGAAAGTGGCTCTTGTGGATATCATGTGGTAAACTGCTGCATATACTGTACTTCTTAGGCTTTTGCAGGTCTTGCGCTGGCACTTGCAACATTTTCACCAAGGAGTAAAACCATTACAGCAGATCCTCTCTGTCTTTCGCTGTGTCCACACGTTGTTTTATTTGGTGGTGTGGCCTTGCACTGACTTCAGGTGAGAGTTACATCATTCACAGACATCTGGAAATCATTTTCACAAGGAAAGAATCTAAGAGATGTTCAGTCAGAAAACAAGTTTGGTCATGTGGACGCTCTGCCTGGCATCTGTCCCGATCTGATTCCCCAGATGGTTTCACCACTCCACTAAAAAAAGAAAAAGAAAAAAGAATGCCTTAAAAGGGTGACAGAGAAAAGCAGAGACAGGCAGAAAAGGAAACTAATTGAGGGAGGCTGGGGAGGGAAGCTTTTCCCGTAATTATATCATGAAGGCGGCGTTGTCCTCCCCTTCCTGTGTTCTCTCGCGTCTCAGACGCAGTCCAGGTGATGTGAACAGCGAACACGGTGGATTTCTGTCATTGCAGGCACAGGCGCATCATTCTGCTCTGTCCAAGCCTCAAAGCCTCTGAAGGATGTCTGAGGGAGACATTACAGTGCTGCCATTCGGACCTGCGTCTCTGGATCTGTCCAGGCAGGAGCACCGGAAACTGACCAGGCTGTACAGCCGGAACGGAGGATATCACCTGAGGATTTTACCTGATGGAACCGTGAGTGGTGGGAGGAAGGACAACGACCCCTACGGTGAGGAAGGAATCATTTTTTCTGTCTTTCTAATGTGTGATTGGCTGCTGTGTTTCAGAGTCAAGAGGCAGGATGGAAGATACAAGCTTTATAGGGGAGTCTTAGAAGAGATTAACAAGAAGCTGAGCAAATTCTGTATACATAATTTATCCTCAATCATAACTGCTGTTCATTATTTTGACTCTCAAAAATTTAATTGAAAGAAGAAAGAACTTTATTTATGGTTAAAAGTCTTCATGGTTGTTAAAATAATGACAAACAAAAGAGAATAAGTAAACTTAAGATGTTTTGGTTAGAAGGTATCTTGGGAAACAGAAAACTTGCAAAAATGGAAGAATGTTAAGAACTGTTTAAGTCCTCTTGAGCAAAGTATTTGAACTAAGCAGTGGGGTTTGTATTCATAAATACTTATTCTGAGTACACATTTAGACAACAGGGATAATATTCCCTGAAAAATGTGTGGCAAATATTTATTTTGGGGAGAACAATGACGGTTACAATGTGTTTAAGTGACTGGACAAAGTGCCATACACAGTGACATATGTTTTGTTCTGCAGACACCCTCAGTCTGAAGGCTGTGAGTGTGGGCGTGGTGGTCATCAAAGGTGAGATGACAGGAAGGTACCTGGCTATGAACAAAAATGGACACCTCTACGGATCAGTGAGTGTTTCAATTTTGTAGTTTGAAAGAATTGACTGCCGCCATGAAGTTAAACCTCTTTTTGGATCAAAAGATTGAACTCTTATAGTATCAAACCATGGCATTAAGGTTGCCAGACATGATGAAATAAATCCCTATGTCTCTTTGTAACCATTACCTAATTACCTAAAGTTTTTTTTATCCAAAGCTATTTTCATCTGATCACATAATACTTACGGCATTACTTTGTCACTGTGAGTTCAAACTCAATAATTCCTACACATTTGTAATAGCCTAGGGTTATTTTCCACGACTGCAAAACCCTGGAAAATCACAGTACCAGAGAGTGACGGATTTTTTTGTATAATAAAAATCACTATGAGTAATAATTTGTCATTAGGACACATAAAAAAACAGATGCACCTTTAAGGAATCACAAATTTGTCATGTAGATTCTTAATTCTAGTATTCAGCACTATAATGTTCTGTAGCTGTGTGTGTGTGTGTACAAACACAACTTTTAAAATCAATCTACAGGAAGGATCAGAAGATGTCAATAAAACAACCCCCTCACCCCCACCCCACCCTTCTTTTCGTTTTCTTGTCTCAGCAAGCACTGAATGATGAGTGTTACTTCCTGGAGAAGTATGAAGAAAACCACTACAACACATATTGCTCTCAGAAGTACAAGTGGTATGTTGCCCTGAAGAGGAACGGCCAACCCAAAGCAGGACCAGACACCCACCAGGGTCAGAAGGCCATCTTTTTCCTGCCAAGGCCTGCAGGCAACATGTAAAGCAAGACAGCACCAGGAAACATGGACATGCTCACTGAAGTCTTTAAATGCACATTAATAGTGAAATGTTACGCCGGGCAAAGTATCCTATTTAAAGGTCACTTAAAATGAATAGAGTAGCCTGAGGCGAACACATAATGCTGTTTTTTTACAGTTAGTTCAAGCTCTGTTTCAAAGTGTTTGTTTATCCCTTTTTATGCAGGGAATATGTGATCAGGCTATTTCAGCTCATGTAACCAGCTTATACATGATTATCACATGGATATGAAGTAAGATCCAGAATACTTTCTGCATATAAGCACAAGTACAGCCTCTCACAGCAGACAGAAAATGTATCAGTGCATAACCGTCTTCATAAATGAGTGTTCACTTCAAACCCTGGTATGAAATACCACTGCTGGGAGACAGCAATGGACAGCTTTTACAAAGACATAGTTTCATAATTGATCATGTCTGGAACAAAGAAAACCAATGAAGAAGAGAAAATAAAAATGCCGACCATCTGGATTTGAATACAAATTCAAGCAAACAAAGGTTTTTAACATCTACAGTAGATGGAATAAGAGGAATACTATAATTATTCCAGTTGCCTAACAGTATGTCAGTAGGGTGGATGATTTGACAACTTTACTAGTGACTACTTTTAATTTGCTAAAGCCTGTTTAATGTGTAATCATATTGTTATTATGAGCCTGGGTCAGCTGACAGTCTTTTTCAAGTCAAATGTGAAAACTTTGTTTGAGTTATGAGTGAAGTTATTATTGAGTTGTATGTTGAAGCAAAGGAGGAACCAAAGCAGATTTAACATCACAGTGACACCAAATGCTCCAGTGTGGATTATTTGACTTTAGTTATGAGGAGTCAGAGACGGACCGAACATTGACCTTTCCTGTCCTAGTCCACAGAGGTTACACAAACTTCCTTTCACTAGGCCTCACAGTCCAACAGAGATTTCTGCAAACCTCTTCCTTTCTCTTTTTGTTGGAACACATGTTACTGTTACATTTCACTAGGTTAAATTACTATTGTGAATATTTATTTATAACCTTTTATTGCTATTAACTTCACTGGACATTGTAATGGACATTTTCAAAATAATTTATACATATATATATATATATATATATATATATAATATATAATGGTGAAGCAAAAAGTTCATGTGATCAACTTTTCACAAAGTAATACATATTGTATTCAGTGTATTTAAATGTATGAAATAAAATCTGCATTATTACCCATGAACAAATAAATTGTATGTTTGATTTGTCCGTATAATCATTGTTCTTTCCAAAAAAACTGTGCATTTAAATAAAAGTTTATTACTGTATATGTGTACATGGCTGTTGCTAATCAGCTCTGTGTGTGTGTGTGTGTGTGTGTGTGTGTCTGGCATTGCATGTAGACATCTGTGTTTCTGATAACAGACCAACACTCTCTCACAGGTGTTTACCAGAGACACATTCCTCCATGTGACACAACCGTGACAAATTATAATGTTTGGCCACAAGATGGCAGCATTGCTTTAGGTTGAGTAGTGTTTTCACTCAGGCTGGCACTAAGGGCATCAACAGCTTCAGTGTTTTGGCCCCGGTTTACTATCATTACATGTTTAGGTCTCCCCAAATCCCAGTAAAAATAAATCATGAGTAAAGTAGGTAATCTAAGAAACCACACAGCTGCCATCAATAGCATGTGTCTAGCCAGCTGTAGGTACTGTATATGGCCTGTGATACAAGACATGGCTATCCTATAGTATGGAATAGGGAAGTAAATGTCATGAAAATTAAAATATGTTAAAAGAATAAATAAATAAAAACAATGCCAAAGACGTACATTATTTCAGGGAGAGGAAAATCACAATCTCAAATTTTCTTTCAGTATTTTTAAAATATCAGTTAACTTCAATCTTTACTTTGCTTAGTAATTTTTTTTTTTTTTTTCAACCAGCTTTTCATTCAATTAAAGAAAAATAAATCTTTAAATGAACAAATACAATGGTTTAATTTTGTCTTAACCTGGGCAGTCAAAGAGTACAATATCTTTGCATAATTAAAATATGGTGTAACAGTAAGAAATTTTGATTAAAATCTGAAAATATCTGAACAAAGAAAGGTAAACTATGCCAGATGTGTGACCAATTCAGTGACAATTTCCTGTACTTATCCTATTTCAATACTGAAACACAATTTGTCCACCACTTGAAAAGTATTATGCATCCTTAAGGATCCTTTCTGTGAAGATGTCAGTCAAGTGAAAGAATCTAATATCCTTTAAGAAAACCCTGTTTGCAGTGGCATGACCAGATTAACCTCTTAGTGGGCCCCGGGGTATAAATTTGTTGTTGGGCCCCTACAGAGAGTCAAAGTCATGTCATGTCCAGGCTAGCTTCTGTTCCACTCCTTTCAGTAAATCAGTGTAATCTCATATTCAGCATTTCTTTCTTTGATCTTCATGCATGAAGTGTGTTCCTCTGGGTTATTGTCCCCATACTAAGACAAATTGCCATGAGACATGATGGAGACAAGAGTTAACATTGGTGTTGCTTGCAAACAACTGAGGTCTTAAAACTTAATCTTGGCACAGAGTTCCTCTTCGGGCACAGGCCACGAGATGAGGAATAGAGGACCCATCATACGTCATGTTGTACTTCAGTGGCGCAAATTTCTAACACACAATAATTGACAATAATTGAATTAAATCCATTTACTCTCTACTTTACTTAAGTACAATTTTGAGGTATTTTGAGGTACTTAAATGTTAAAGTATTAAAACTAGTATCAAACAAGTATCAAATCACAACACGCTACTGCCACACAGGATTGTTTGGGCCCCTGGTGGTCTGGGGCCCCTGGGCAGATGCCCACTTCGCGTGGTTTGGTCCTCCAGCCTTGTGCACCAGTTTGAGTGAAGACTTTTTACTGTGACCGTAAAGTTGTGACAGATGATACCAGCGCAATGCAGTGAAAGAACTCCATTGACCCCGATGAAGTATTTTCACCACATTTTTGGAAGCAATGGCATTCTTCGTTTAATCCACGCTTAATGTCTAACGGCTGAAACAGAACATCGCCTGAAACGTTGTTTCAGAGGCTGCTTTGCCAGGAAAAAGATCCTGGAAAAAACACTGGAACGTGGTTTAAGATGTTTGGGAGGAGTGGAGCTGATTCATGGCTCCAATAAGTTCCATATTATTGTGGGATTTAAACAGAATTGGCAGGGAACATAACAGTAGGATTACTACTTTTCCAAATACCAAGTGTGTGACAAATTACTATTTCAAATTGAGCAATAGTTCTACATTTTCCCATTTAAAAATTACTTTCTGATGACCCTTTGTAAATGTCAGATCAGAGCCTAATTATCCGACTATTAATCCTACTTTCCATCCCCTGGTTTGTTTTTCTGATAATATATCCTCGCCTTCTCAACTGAGGAACAAGATTTTAAATTCTCGGTTGTACTTTTTACTCCACTGCATTTATTTGAGAGCTATAGTAAGCCTTGCTATTGCATTCAAAACAAACATATAATCTTTTTTTATTTTTTTATTATGCATTGTTACAGATTAAACAGTATATAAAGTCGTTACTTTCACTTTAACTGGCTACGATATTAAACTACTGACATTCTGCATGATGAGTTTTGCTTTTGATAGTTTCTGTATGTTTTTATGATATTTCTTTTTCATTGTAGTCAAGTACAGATTTGACTGCAGGACCTGCAATGAAGTATTTTTACAGTGCAGTATTGATACATGTACTTAAGTAAAGGTTTAGGGTTACTCTGGGTGCTTCTATCTCCATTGGCCACCAAACCAACACGTTTGACCCACTGGAAGAAACAGAAAAGCAATAAAACTCAGGTTTGAGAGTAATTGAATAAAATTAGTTCAATTAATTGTTACCACCATCTGTCTTCTTTCCCAAAAGCATTTAGTCTGAAAAAATAGGAAAAATGAACAAACACATACACACAAACAACAGGTAGTTCTTGAGGACACTGACTGGACACACGGCTGTTGGTGGAAAAACATTGAGTATTTGGCTATTACCCAACCTGTGACCTCTCATTTACAGGACATTCTCTCTCCTTCTTTCCACCAGGCCACCCTATGAACCAGCACAACACATACACACACACACACACACACATACACACACACACACACATATACACATTTGCACACACACAAACCTGCTTGGCCATTGGCCTGCAGGGCTGTACAGGGCAGGAAGGGAATCATTCACTGTAAACTGAACAAGGACTGGCTTCCTCTGGGAGTCCCCTAGCCTGACAGCAGCCAAGATCCATGCAACACAAACCACTCTAGCAGACACACACACACACACACACACACACACACACACGAGGGGGTGTGCGCGAGGGAGAGAGAGAGAGAGAGAGAGAGAGAGAGAGAGAGAGAGAGAGAGAGAGAGCAACGTGTACACACCCTGGAACTGGGACACATTCTCTCATCTGTTACTCGTCTCTCTTTCCTCAATTCCATCTTTCTTCACTCCCCCTTCCTGCCCGTCTCTCAATTTCCAGCCTCCTTTAACCTCCGTCTCTGTCTTATTGCTTTCTCCTCATCATTTTCTCCCTTCCACCCCTCTCTTTTTGTTCCTCTCTGCCAGTATCCTTCCATATTTTTTTTTTTTTACCACCTTATCCTCCAGTATTTTACTTCTTTTTTTTTTATTTTATAAATGCACTCACATATCTCCCTGGATATATTTTCAATACTTATTTTCCTAAGCTATTTTCTTTCTGTTTCCAAGTCTTTCTTCCTTGCAATACTTTCATCAGAGAAGTTTCCAAATTTGTGGCTCCTGAACCATTGTTGTGAAACTTTAACAACTTCCGAAAGGTTTTGGAAATGCACCATTAGACGGACAAAAGTTCAAGTTTAAAGTTTATTTTTTAACTCAGTCTTCATTATTTGTACCAACAAACAGTGCAAAGCTTGTTTAAAGCATACCAGGCCATAAAAAATCTCCAATAAGAGATCCAGTGGGCTAAATCTTACCAAATAATGATCCATTTCTTAGGATTAGAGAAGTCACTGAAATCCTGCGGTTGCTCTACTCTGCCCCTCAGCACTCCTCCATCGCTTCTCATCCTGTTCTGGTGGCCTCATCATGAAAACAAGAGATGCTTTGTCAACGTTACTGTATGCATGCTATTCCCTTCACCTTTCTCCCCTACACAAGCAACCACTCACGCATGCACACACACACACACACACACACACAGAGAGACAGGAACGGAAACAGGGGATGCATATCCGTCAGCTGATCCAACTGGAAATGCTGACACTGGTCTCCCCATCTGCTACTGCTCTCTGAGACAAGGGGGAGGAAGGCAGGGAGGGGGAGAGAGAGAGAGAGAGAGAGAGAGAGAGAGAGGGAGAGGGAGAGTGAGAGGGAGAGAAAATAGGGGGACAGAGACAGCAAGAGGGAGCATTTTGACAACCCAGAGATTTGCCCGGATGCTTGTGGTTGGCCCTGCAGCAACTGTTTTCCTAATAGATGATTTGTGCTGGATAGACACATTCTCAGGGGGCTCCAAACATGCAACTTTCCCTCTGGGTGAGAGCAAACGGCAATTGTCGACCAATGCAATGGACCCTTTAGGACTGAGCCACAGAAATGAGCAGAAGAGAAGCTGAGTACAGACGCAGTTGTTCCCTTGCTGATAAAATATGAAGAGGAGGTATAACTATAAAAAAAAAAATTAAAAAAAATCCTGAGAGAAATGTGTGCGTCTCTTTGGTGTTCTACGTTTGACTTTCTTCATATGGCTCTCATTTAGATCATCTCTCTGCCATTTCACGGTGGCATATGACCGGCTTGCAAGTATGTAAGAGGAGAGTTGCTGCACTGTTTTGGCATAACAAAGCAAAGAAGAAGAAAAAAAACAAAACAAAACAAAAAAACAAAAAAAAAACAGTGAGCCAAAAGTGACTGAACGCTTGTCTGCAATGTGCTTTGAGGTTGAATTCATCAAAGCAGCCACATTAGATCTTTTATCCATTTACTAACAGGCAGTGGTGCACTTGTAACTGAAGTAGTGGGTATGCCAGTG